GGAATTCATTCGAAATCACGTCGTGGAATTTGTAGTGAATGACGAAGTAAGCTATGTATCTTTCTTGATATGTTGAAATAAAGGCTATATTTTTCTTTAGAATGACTGTCGACATGTACTTGCTAGCGTGGCCGATGCCGCTTTTCGATTTGAAGCTAACGGAACTCTAGATCTGGCATTCGTGAAAAATCAGAAGTTCGTCTTTTGAAACAAGTTCTCCATGGAAGCAGCATTCTATAGGATCCTCTTTGCAGACGTAGGGCAGAGCGTCCGTTGTCATTTGGTGATGTAATCGAGTGGGATGACGTAGATATGAAGAGCAACAGAGTGATTTTCAAGTTCCGAAGAATGCCTGCTTTGTTCGAGCCTCGTGTAAACGAGCAGAAATTTCAGGTTTCATTGGCATCTTTATGCAACGCACAGGCTTTTTCTTGCTTTCGTACTTTTTGGTGCTTTCGTTTCGTCAATGAAAAGGAAAATCCAAGTTTCACTGTTGTGTCCGTTTTCTTTGCTGAAATCTGGCGAGGTTGGCAGGTCTATTCCATTGGCTTACGTACGTTTCGGCGGAAGCTTCTTCATCACCCTCGAATGACCGAGCAGTTTGTGACTTTTCGCTCAAACTGCTACCCTACTGAAGTTCGAGGGACCGTCCAGGCAATCTCACTCACACGACCTGCTAAACCCTCTCCATCTCTAGGAGGAGTGTACACTACTGCTATGCAGAAGTTTATTGTGAGCCATACTCGGCGGGTTAGTGTTTTTTTTATGGCCTCTGATTTGTTAGTTCAGGGAAGCTGAGTCAGTCGTTTTCGAGAATATTAATAAGGCTCTCTTGGAAAATGTGTAACGTAAAATTTGTACACGTTTATATGCTTATTGATAGTTTTCCTGATTATAGATACTCGTGACCGGTGTGGTTTCGCCAGTGGATAAGTTCCACTTTTGGTCTGAATATTTCTCACATGTTCGACTTGGTTAGCTTTTAACATTTTACCCGCTTAACACGTTGGCGACTAGCCGAGTTTCCGCCTTGCAGCATGTGAGATGGCCTTTTGTTGTCAAGAGAGGCGTGCGAGGCTAGGCAAAAGGGAACCGGGTAGTGTTGTCCAGCTCCTCCCTTACTGCAACCTCAAAATAGTTGGTTGCAGTTTTTGTGTGCTTTATGAGTTTAGTCGAAATTTTTACTGGAGCAACCTAAACTTCGACTGGATCGTCTCCATTTGCGATCCAGGGTTCTGTTTTAAAGCAAAGAAATTCCGCTTCAGGTCGAACTTGCAGTTTGAATCAAATGGTTTTTTCGTCGTAGAAGAGGACCCCTTAATCTCCAACGACGGCGATTCAGTCAGGAATTCGATAAAAGCTTCCCCTAGGTTGCGGCATCGGAATTTTCAAAGTGCGGTAGCGTAAAGCGTTTCGAGCGACTAAGTATAGGTATCCACTAGTGTACAGCAGCGCACTGCGGGGTTTGAAGCGACTAGGAAGTTATGGATGTCGATCTAGCGTTCTGAGCATAGGCCAGGTTTTGAGTGTACGCGCTGTCGTTCGCTAGATCGATACCCATACTTTCCTAGTCGCTCGAAACTCTCAAAACCCTACCTTGCGTTCAAAACATTGACGCGAAATATGAACACAACTTGACGCAAAGTATGAACCACAGCCTTACGGCTCGTAGAGCACGTAAAATCTAGCACAAGTTTGCAACTTGCCGGAAAGGTCAGAGAATTCAGAGTAAGAACTTCAGCTCTTTGTTCTGCAGAGTGCATTGAAAGCAGGCATGACTTGTAGAGCCGATAGAGACGAGCCTTGAGCCTGAATTTCCTCTATAGGTTCTAGAACTTTGGAAGCAAGCGTGGAGGAGCATAGCATTCCACAGTCACTAGTGGGATTCAGTTCAGATTTTTTTCCTTCCTGTATGTTCTTCACTGTCCAATGAAAATTAGCTAACAACGCACATCAGCAGAGCACGTTGTCGCGTGGTGATCATTTTGAAAAATAACGACCGCTACTCATTCTATCCTCCAAATACGATCCTCCTCTCGCATGCTACTACACGTTCCTAGATTTCCTACTTCTATCACTTGTTTCACTTTCCCGAAAAATTTTCCACCTTTTTCAGTCAAGAATTTGAAGGGGAGGTCGTCAGGATTTAGCTATCATTTTCAACTATCGGAAATAGTAGTTGTATAGATTTTTGGCAGTTCCTCTCCCAACAGCAGCGACTAATACGAACCCCCTGCCCGTCCCTCGCGGTCAAATACGACTCCCTGTGGGGATCACATCGATGGTGTGCCCTGCTTACCTGCCTAATGCCTCTCGCCGATAACAGGCCTTACGTTAGTGACCAATTCTTTCTTTCTTTTGTGGAACACTATAAAACGTCTGCATGTTGCGGCCCCTATTGACATCACAATGCGCGATGTCGCCAATTTGTTAACATCCAAGGACACCTCTATGGTGAGTTTCCCCATTTTCATGGTTTCAGGTATGAAGGTAGCTGAAGAAGTTCTACCTAACGTTACGGTAGCGGCTTGGTTGAATTTGTGCATTAGTGAGGATGGCAGATTCTGTGTTGAATTCGATTCATTCGAAAAAGTTGAACATGAAGGAAGTATCGTTGCTGCAGCGGTAGTGGAGTACTTTCTATATCCAGTTACCTTCCAATGCTACCTTTTTGAACCCCTTTCAGCCTTGGAATCGGGAACATTCAAGAAAAAGAAACAAAAAAAAAAAAAAAAAAAAAAAAATATACCACGTTGACTTTGCGCAATTGCACGAACGACGGCTGGAAGACACAAATTCTATTACCTGAATTCTTTCTCGGACGTAGCGCACTGCGCAACAGGTATTCGGTAGTGTTTATTTAGGCCTGCTTCATCACTTTGCGTTGGCAGTATCTAAGTTGATCAAGCGAGTAGGCAGGTATCGCCAGATCGATACCTACCTACACTTTCCTTTTCGCCCAAAAAAACTAAAAGCCGATTCTCGCAAAGCACTCAAAACGCCGACGCAAAGTGTGAACGCGGCCTCACAGCCTTCGCTGCCTTAATCGAGGCTTTTTAAGGGAGGTGTTCAATTACGAAGGAATCTGCACCGGAAAGAGGTTGATATTCTGTAAGGAATTGCCCTCGTATGAAATTGTTGTTGCTTTGATCAAAAATCCAAAAGAGAGCACACCTCTTGGAATAGGTTGGGTATCAGGCCTTATCGAGAGTTCAAGTATCCATTTTTGAATTGTCATCCTCTGAAATTTAGGAGTTAGTTGTGAATTCAGTGCAGTCTGGAGTGAATATGAGAAAAGATACATTGTGACAAAGTACAGAACGAAAGGAATACCGAGTCGATTGGGCTCTAATGGATTGGTATGTTCATCTATAAAGTGAAATATTTATCTCTCGGCGCCATAATATTAACACTTCTGTTGCTTTTTCTTTTTTTTATTTACGAAACATTCTGTTGCTTTTTCTAGCTGAGGACATCTGTCAAGGCTGTGGAGAATTATCCTGGGCTTTTCAAAAGCGATCAGTTTGGATACGCAGATGACCCTCGTGGTGCTCTCGCTTTGCTACATCTGTCAGCTTACAAGCGCAGCTCTGTAGTGGTACTTGTTCGAACTTTTTACTTTTTGCCTGTCGTATTAATCGCATTCTTGACGATAATCAAAATTCTGTTCCTTTATTATAATAAAATTCAGGTAACACTGGAGGACAAACCCTCCCAACAGTCAGATATACGGTTTCGCATTGTGGACGTACAGCCGGACAAAGCACCCAAGTTAGAGAAATGGATGGAAGAAAGCGAGGTAACTCAGTTGGATTTTTTTTTGATATTTCACTCTTCTCGGGAACGGCAGTAATTTTGTCAAGACAGAGCAAGTGGAGCATTATGCTGCATTCATAATTTGCGTCAGCGTATGGGGGGGGGGGGGGCGCAGCGTTGCCAGCGACTGGAAAAGTATAGATATCTCAGGGCACATCGTTGGTTGGGGAATCCCCAACAGGGGGTCGTATTTTGGCCGCCAGGAGAGGGGGGGTCGTAATGAGTGCGGTAGCCAGTAACGAGCAGCGCAAAGGTGTGCTGAGTCCTGTACAGCGAAACTTGCTTTGTAGAGAACTCGGATATGTAAAAAAATAGTACAAAACTTTCATTCATCAAACTAATCCGAAATAACTGGAAATATCAATAAGTCGACATCATCTCGTAAGTGACTAAACAGTACAACTCATACTCTGGTTCGCTGCGGATGATGGGGCGTGTCCGATCGCGCTTGGCGCTGAGCCAACCTGTTTTTTTCGACAAACGACAGGACTACCATATCGTTCGTATCAGACGTTTTCCAGCAGTTGGTCTCCTTCATCGGAATCAGCAATTGGCGGAGCACGAATCTGGCGGCGTCGACAGGGACACGCTCCATCATACGCACGGAAAACACTGTAAACAAGTGCACAGGTTCGCCATGGACCTCCCTGAATCCTATAGACACATTTGCTCGCGTGGACAGACATTACGCTCAAATTGCACCATCCCATCACCTCTGCGCGGACCTCAATGCGCGGCGCATCCAAAGTTAGCATGATTGGCGCTAAACAAACCACATCCTGCTCCTGCTCCACCACAGGATACGTTCTACATGTATTTCTGGCTATTCGAACACGCTCGCTTGAAACCGTACACAGAAAACGGACTTTCGAACAGTTCGGAGTGTTCCCCAAATAATCCCCAACGCAATTATCTCATGACTCCCGGAAGCTTCAAAAAACGTTCAAGTAGTTTTTGGAAAGAGCAAATCTTCTAGAACTCGACAGTAGTTTCAGATTCCCAAACTATTGAGGTTCAAGGGAAATATCTTGGTTCAAACCTGTAAAACTCGCGCTGCAAACTATCCAAAAAATGAACTCCCTAAATAATCCCCAACGCAAATTTCTACATGAAATCGGCGATCTTTATGTACATGTTAGTATGTTTTGGAAAGATAAAATCTTTCTCCATACCACTGCGTTCTTCTTTTTCCCAAAGGTCCGCTATTACGGAAGTTATGGTCCTTTAAAGAGACCCCACTTTCCTGAAAGTCCGCGCTCCAATCAAACCACCTGCAACCACCTTGCGGCTGGAGGTCCTGCCCAGAATCCCTCCCCGGTACCTCGGCCTTTAATCAGCTGATTGCGGCTGGTTTGCTCTCGTTCGTATTTACTCTTTCGTGTTTACTTCTTCTCGGTTTATTCGAATATCGAATATTTATCTTCTTCTCGGTTTACTCGAATATCGAATATTTATCTTCTTCTCAGTTTACTCGAATACGCGTCAGAGCGCGCCCCAGCAATTTTGCTTGGACCGCTCAGAGTGCTTTTAGGAGAAGTTGGCTTAATTTCCTGTTTTTTTTAATTGCAATTGATTCAGGTACCAGTTTGTTTTGACTCGAGGAAAGGTGGGTGAAACCTAATGGCCTTTCTTTTCTATTCTCTTTTCTGAATCAGGATAGAAATGAGCAAAAAGCGAGGGGGCCTCGTTCAGGATTGTTACTTTCCATTTTTCGCTTACTTATACATAAACTTATGAAGTTTCTTCCTCCTCGGGGGGGGGGGGGGAAGAAACTTCATAAGTTTATGTATAGGGGGTCGTACCGAACCCCCAAAAAAGGGGGGGGTCGTACGGGCTTCACCAAAATCCCCAACCAATGATGTGCCCTGTAGATCGATAGCCATAATTCCCTAGTCGCTCGAAACGCTGCTGTACGCTGGCATACGCTGGTGGAGGCTCGGAGCGCGGCTGAGTAGTGCGAGGACGCGTGGAACTCCGGCGTATTCGGTGAGCGTTGTGGGTGTAGCGCGTAGCGAGAGAGTAGATGTGAAGTGTGAAGGTGTGGGCGGTGAGTGCGGAAGCTTAGCGCGCGTTGGATGGTAGGCAGCAGACTCGAAGATATAGGACTGTACGGAGTTCATTCGATGTTTTAGTAAGGTTTTTGAAGAGTGCAGTTTGAGATAGCAATATTAGGCCCTTATTATCCCATATTTTCTGCAGTGTAAGGCACATCACGCTCCAGACGCCGCGACTGATTCTTCCTCATTTTACTTTGGGTATTTGTTTGTTTTATCTTTATTAATTACCTGCATTGAATGGAGGGTACAGAAAACCAACCAGAATAATAAATTATGCAAAAAAAGACAGGAAAATGTTGTTATGTTCATAACTGTTTATGCGCGTTGACGCGTGCACTGTGGGCTAGCGAATAAAGGCGCCTTATAGCCCCGTAACACCTTAAAAGGGCACCTTCTTTTGCTAGAAGTAAACAGTAAGTGAGGAAACATAGGCGCTGGCGGTCGTTGAACGACTTATTCAGGAGAGAAAGAGCATTTTGAGGTTTCAAGGTATCTTTCGCTTAGTCGTTGTCCTGCAATATCTTTCTTTATATTGAGTAGTCATACCGGTTCGCAATATGTAATTCTTGTAAGATTCGGTTAGTGATGAATTGTTTACTCTTACGCTTCAATTGAATTCGACATTTCTTTTTGAACATTGTATTTTCAAAGATAACTGTGGAAGATACCAACGGAGTGGTGCTAAACGAATCAACAATCTCTTCAGTGGACCACGGCAATATATTCTTCCAGTCAGTTTCTTATAACGCTTTCCGCTAGTGTTTTCTGATGCCAGCGAGATTTGCTAATAATGCCTTGGAGTTCAGTGTTCCCCAAGAACTACGAGGTAATTTGTCACCTGGCAAACTGGTAAAGTTCTCTGCGAAATATGAACATGATATCAAGGTTAGTAGTGTTCCTTGCCCAAAGAAAGTGCATGACAACTTCAACTGGTTTGCGGTTTGTAAGTGTTTCCTATCTGTACCTATGCATTTCAGCAGTTCACTGTTACTAAAACTGCTGTGCTGCCTTCAGAGGGAATCTATTCGGTAGAAAAATTGTTGTCTCCTGAGCAGGAGCGTCAGGTATCGTTTGACCTATGTTTCTGTTAAGAAAGATACTGTGCAAAGTAATGAATACATTGTGGAGCAGAGAATCACTCCAGTACTTGCTCACAAAGGCAGTTAGACTCCAATGATGCATCCTTTGTGTCTGCAGTGTTTGAGCTGAAGCAGGCCACCTAGTAGGAGGTGGTAGCTGGATGTGGACGAGTCATGATTTGCTGCTGGATCAGAGTGCTTATGTTAGAGGCATAAAGCACGATAATTCGGCATGTGCTCAGAAATAGCAGCTAAATGGGGGAATGTCGAAAATAAGTCTAATTTGAACGACCGAAAACCTGCGGAAAAAATCTCCTGCATGGTGTTACAAGGAATTTCTGACGATTACCCGTTGGCATCGTGCCGACAATCTCCTTGATCGATACGGCTGCACGTATGCATTCGTACATCCATGTAGCAACGCTTTATATCAATTGTACTCCATAAATGAAGCGAGAAGAGTATCAGCGTTGACGTGACTGTGCGACCAGTTGTGGGCATTCGGATCGGGATGTTGCAGCATGGTAGAGCGCTATAAGGTACCTTTGTTAGAAATACCCCTTGCAGCACCTCTCAGGGGCGCAGATCCTGTCCTGCTAGGCGTATTTATCCTGCAAGCTTTGTGGATTTATCGTGCCGCTCGCCTTTAGGAATCGAACACCCACGTTGCTGTATGCACCTACGCTACATTTATTCTCGGAACTTTAAGTGACTGGTGAGAAGAGTTCGTGTCCCTCAGGCGATAGCTAACATTCTATTCTGCCATACACACGGGACGAGTGACCATTATTTCTTATGGTTAGTAAAGCCTTGCTGATTCGCCCGATTAGAAAAAGGGACGCATTGGAAAGCGCACCGATTTGCTTGGAAATGATAGGGCGCAATCTTTCCCGAGTTCTGTCAGTTTGCTTGCGCGGTAGATAGATGCTTTCGCGCATACGCATTTCTGCCGCGATGAGACATTAGTTGCAAACCTGAGTTCATACTGTGTTATTTTGGAGGCAGATTTCGCGATGTCATTGGTGTATGTTTCCCTGACTTGCCCGTGAAGAAAAGAGCAGCGAAAATCGGAACTCGGAATCAGGTCCTCTTTGTTCCGAGCGAAAACGCGAAGAATTGGCGGAGATATTGCGCCGGAGACCAGACCGAAGCAGCGAGACGGCACGCAAACGAGCGAGGCGATAGCTAGCAATATGGGCGGAGTCACTTGGACAGCATATACTCCTGCTTTATAACTTTACTGGCGCAAAGGTGGAGCAAGGATGCTCATTGTAGCCTACACTATCCCTCCGCACAACGAAATTCGACTCTTATAGAAGGATCACGGAACTTCCGTGCAGAACGGCGTTTTT